GCTGCGCTACACTATGCACTCACAACTCGGCTGGCGCTGCCGCACACACTGAAGGACAACAGTTGTACTAGTGGAGTGTTTAGGTAGTGCTGCCAGGGTCCACTGTCTCCCACACACCTCCTCCTCCTCCTCCTCCTAATCTTCCGTCCTCCGCCTCCTTGTCTTCCTCCTCCTCCTCACCCTCCTCATCCTCCCTTCTGCACAACCACATGCTCGCTGAACGCTACTAGTGCATGGAGCACTAGTTATGTGCACACACACACACACACACACACACACACACATGCACACACACACACACACACACAAAGGCATGCACACATATACAGGCATGTACATATGTTAAGCATGCATGCACACACAGACACCCACATAAAGTATGCACACAGACAGAAATATATGCATGCATACACACACACATACACACTTGCATGCCCATGCCCATATAGACACACAAACACACAGTCACACAGTGTGTGTGTGCTCACACAGGATTCACACATGCATGCACACAATAACAGGATATATAAGCCACACACACCCGGTAGCTAGAATATCACACATATGAATATTAAATATACGACAATAAATATGTCAATAAAATCTATAGCAATGACAGGCATCATTCACTGCCTTCTGCACTCACAGAACATGCACTAGCATCACATCGTATGCACTAGAACCACATCTCACGTGCACTAGCATCACATCTTACATGCACTAGCATCACATCATGCATCCATTAGGCTGCACGTGAGCTATGCTGCACTTTACTGTCTAAAGAAAAATGAAAGATTTAGGTCACACACGTGCAACAGACACCACACACACACACACATGCCATTCCTACAGATGCACAAACATACCTACACACATGCATTCACAGCTACTTTCAAGATCAATGTGGAGTAGACATTAAGGATATAGACAAATAAAAGACACACACACACACGCACACATGCACACAAACACAGCGCAGGATCCCCGGGGCTCTGCAGCTACGACGTCAGTAATTAAACATGAGGCAGCACGTGCAGCCACGCTGCGTGAAACCACGACGCGGCTGAGAGCTAAATCACGAGTTCTCCTCCGTCCGCTATGCTCTGAGCTCTGCAATATAAGAAGAAAAAAATATATATATATATATATATATATATATATATATATATATATATATATATATTATAATATGAGAATCATCTGTTAAGAGTTGAACACAACGCTCTCTGTTAATCTGCAATTGTGTCCCCTGTCCTGGCTTTTACCAATAACCCTAACCCTTACGCAGTTTTAACCAGTCCTGAACTGGTAAAAAATGTGTTTATTTGTTAATTTGTCAGGGGTAAGGTACAAAAAGGCCTTCGTCTTAATGAGAAGAGAAGCAATGTACCAGATTATTCTTCAGCCAGCAGTTCTTACTTCAAAATTATCTCCAACTTACACACATATTTTAAAAGCACACACACACACACACACACACACACACACTTTAGTCATGTTGTACTCTCTTTATTTGTATTAATCCTTATTTATCTCTCTCTCTCTCTCTCTCTCTCTCTACTTGACTGGCGTCCTAAAACAATTATCAATAATAAATCATAACAGGAAGTAAGAGAAACACATGCCACCAACATTGTTTAACCATGACCTCGCCACCCCCCGCTCCCTCCTTTCATGCCACGCCCGCTCTCTTCACCCCTCGGAGGCCGGTGGTGTGTAGTGTGTGTAGTGTGTAGTGTGTAGTTTATAGTGTATTTAAAAGCTTTACCCAGCATGTTGTCTTCCATGTGAGGGATGGACACACACACAGGCACATCAAACATAACACACACACACACACACACACACACTTTTTGTGTCTGTGTGGACGGATGCATATTTGTGTGTGCATGTGGGCGGATATATGCGTGTTGATGAGTGTGGATGCATGCATGTTGGTGCATGAATTATGTGTGCATGTGTGTGTATGTATGTGTGTGTGTCTGCATGGAGGCACATAGTTTTTTGGTGTGTGTGTGTGTGTGTGTGTGTGTGTGTGTATGTGTGTGTAACACAGAGCCAGCAGGTAAAAGGCAGTGAGCAGCAGGAGTAGCTGAGTGTAACAGACAGATTGTGTGACCGCGAGCGGGAAGAAGCTACACAACCCAGAGATGTGTCCAAGACCAGGGATCTACAGCCTCTTACGTGTACTGCTCTGCAGCTCGACAGAATAAGAGGCTTTGACACCCCGAAGACACATTGATCTACGCCATGTCACCACGACTCAAAGGAAGCCATGCTGCAGAGCAAGGCAGACTGTATTTTCTACTATCTATGTCTTACTACGTATGTCCTATTTGGAAAGCAATGGTAAATGGTAAATGGATTGCATTTATATAGCGCCTTTCTACTGTGGCCACTCAAAACACAATTTTTGCCTCACATTCACCCATTCACACACATATTCATACATACTTTCCACCGTCGATGTATGAATGTTATTAATGGGTGAATGTAAGGCAAAAATTGTAAAGTGCTTTTGGGGCTACATAAATGCAGTCCATTTACCGTTCAAACACTGACGGTGGTGACAACAATGCAAGACAGAAGCCAGGTGGTCCGGAGCAGTTTGCGTCGTCTTGCCCAGGGACACCTGACACTAGCAAGGAGGAACCAGGGATCGAACCAGCAATCTTCCGGTTGCCAGACGACCTGCTCTACCACCTGAGCTACTGCTGCACAGAGGCACATAGTTTGTGTGTGTGTGTGTGTATGTGTGTGTGTGTGTGGGTGCACGTGCGTGCATGTTTACTCGTTTTAATAGTTTTCTCCCTTGCAGCAGCAACTCTTCAGATGTTCTTTTCCTCTCTCCCCCGCACCAGTTTCCTCTTTCCTCTGTCACCCTCTCCCCACTGATCTCTATGGGTCTCCCTCTCCTCTTCTCCCCTTCTCTCGCTCCCTGCCCCTCCTCCCTCCCTCCTTTTGATTAAAGGAGTCTAGTTGACAGTATCAGGTTAATGTCGAGGGAGGAGAAAACACTAAGCTGTTTCACATCTTCCCGCTTGCTCTTATCCTCTCTCAACAGCGATCCAAAAAACAACTCTCCCCTAAACACTCCACTCTGAAAAACAAAAAGGACGACCAAAAATAAAGATCGGACCCAAAGGGCTGGCTGACACAAAACACTCAAAACACAAAAACACAAACGGCTGCTAAACACAGAACGCGACCAGATGAGATCGGAGCTCATCAGCGCGGGAGACGCAGCAGCAGTAGCGGGGCGATGTGGACTACTTGTACTCCTGCTTGATTCTCCCTTCGCTTTCTCATCCACCTGCTCCTCCTGAGCCACCACTTCAGCACCAGGGGGAGAAAATCACAGTTCAGAATAGAGCAGAATAGAGTAGAGATTGGAGCGGTGCGGAGTAGGGTGGACCCCAGCTGAGTAGAGAGAGAGAGAGAGAGAGAGAGAGAGAGAGAGAGAGCAGTCAGTGTAACTCTGAAATGCAGCCTGTTCTCAACATATCTGTATCACACGCACACACACACACATACGCACACATACACACACACACACACACACACACACACAGTGGGAGGGCTGCGTGTCAAAAGGCCGATGACTTCATTAGGAGGCACTTGTGTTGTACAACAAAGGCTGAGAGGCCATTACCCACAAACCCCCAGGGTTTAATAAGACGCATGGTGTGTGGTTCGTGTGCGTGTGTGTCGAGGTAAGTAAGGATGAACAAATTAATTAACTACGTCATTGAGAAGGGTTGGGACAAGTAACTCTGTGGGAGCCGAGAGAATA